TCGCTCAAGAAGCTGGAGCATTCCTTCCAAGCATAATGTGCCCCAAGAAGGTTGGCAGCAAAAAGAGACAACCCGTACAGTGAGGGACCAACGAAACACGGTCGAAGGTATCAACCTGCAAAGGCGAGAGACCTTTCTTCTTTCAAGACTTTATGATCTAGTTATTACTTATCTTTTTGTTTTTTTCCATCAAGATTCTAAATAAAAAATAAAAAATCTATTGTCTTACGCGTTCTATCGATGACATCGTCTAAAAAAACTCCGATAAATGTTCCATTCTATAGTCTTTTCAGAAAGTAAGGTCGCATTTTTGCGGTTTTTATAATACGGTTTATACGAAAAAGCGACTAGTCAACGCGACTTCTCTTTCTGGAAATGATGCACTTGCTTTATATTATTAGTTGGTTTCGGTATAGCGCTATTGTTTTTGTTGTAGAATGATTCTATAATCGTACGCGAAGTCGCGTTTGATTTATTGAGCTATATATAAGGATTAAAGACTGAAAAAAGGAAATAGAATAGTGTCTTACAATAGACAACTTTTTGGTTTGGTTCATTTTTTTTTTTTTGTTTTGCTTATATTTTTTAGAGAAAAGAAAAGAATAATAAAAAACAAGGAATAGACTTGTATATATGAGATATTTAAGGAGCAATAAAGAAAAGAGGGGATGTTGTCAATTAAGAAAGATATTCTTCAACAGGGAACGAACTCTTTCATCATCAGATACGATTGTCACAGAGTCTTGACGAATATGCACTCTTGAATCTAAATCTGAAGGTAACTCAATCGTTATTTCTCCATCACGACTACTTTTGATTTCTATAGGAATCGAGTTCTATTATAATATATTAAATTAAATTGTTCTCTCCCCTCACAAAAGCCCTCTCTCCTTACTTGTTTAAATTGTTGAATAATCGTGTTTAGTTCAACTTGAATCCTTAGCGCTTGTCCATTGTCTCTCAGACTTGACATATCAGGATGTAGCTCTAGATTATTATTATAGA